TTTTATCTATGTACAAGGCCACACCACCTCCCATCTTATTCTCTCTGTTTGTGCATACCAAGTCATAGCCATCAAGGTCAAAATCCATTCCCCTTACATTATTAATCCTGGTTTCAGAAATATCAATTATATTAAAAGAATGTGTAAGACTACTAAGATAATGTTTTATACTCTGAAAGTTTGCGTATAAACTTCTGCTATTAAAGTGAATTAATGATAATTTGTTTTCAGTCTTAACATTGCTGTTAAACTGCTCATCCGTGTAATACTTGCAGTTATTTTCAGAGTTCTTAAAAAAGTTTTTTTCAGGGTCAAAATCTTCGTCCGGTTCATGATAATGTTGTTCGGTGTCTCCAGTTGTGTTCAGTTCCAGATCCAATCCCTCAAAAACTATTAACCTCTGTAGCAAATCACTTGCCTCATTCCGTACGTGGGTCATACTTGTTGTTGGTTCCTGCTAATTGTTAGTTCCAACGCTCATCTGCCCTCGCAGATATCAATATACCTGCGTGTTTCTTCATACAGCTGAGGGTCCAGCGACCCCTTCATACTCTCCTTGTCTCGGCATACTGGTCCTCGGCGTGCTGGTCATGGGTCCTGGATTTTGGTTCCGAGGTCGGGTCACTAGTCGGTCATACCGCAGGAACGCGATGTCTCCCCTCGCCCTGGCCTTGTGGAACTGCTAACCCATTAATTAATTAAACACTACTACATTACTACACTACTGCAATTCTCACGTTATAGCAAAAACCTTTACTAGTTAGATAAACTATTTATAAACTATATATCAACCTCTGGAGGAAGTACATATATTGCTGTACCTTTCAACACAGGTTATCAACATGTGTGTCCCAGAAAAGGTTAATATCAATAAACAGGCAAGCATCAAAAATACATAAGGTGCAAGCTAATCTTCTGTTTATCAAATATTTTAACAACTCCATAAACTCTTTCAGTATAAACACACACATCCAGAATTTAAGACACAGCACTCTGTTTTGCAAATATTACCAATAAGTTTATTAAGTGGTATGAATATTCTGTTTTAAAATAAATGCAAAATTGCAAATAGACCTGTACAATTATATGTTCACAGTTTAACACGTTCCCTTTGAATTGCCAACGTTTAGATTAAAAAGAGATATCAGGTTTATTATAGACACAGCATTATAGAAAAGTATAATATCCATTATTATGAGAGTATCAAAATCATGCCTAATAAAAACCTTTAACTGCCCTTTCAGTATATATATATATACATATATATGTATATACATACATACAGAAATATATGTGTATATATATACACATATATTTCTGTATGTATGTATATACATATATATGTATATACATACATACAGAAATATATGTGTATATATATACACACATATATAACTACTTAGATTTGCAGAGATACAATAACATATACAACAAAATCCACTAAGAGTATCCAGGAGCAAACTTGAGTCGCTACATTCGGTGTGTGTGTGTTTATATATGTGTACATGTAAATTACATGATTAAAATGTTACAAAGCAAGACGCTTGTTAAATGTTTCTGAACAAACTGACCAGCAGATCCAGAGCAAAACAGATATGATTTTAAAAAGTGCACACTGGAGACGTACAAATACGTGATACACAAAACCTGTTTTCTCCAGAAGCTCCACAAATGTCTGCTCAACATTGTGATGATATAGTTATATATAGTCTTCAATTTGAATGAAAATGGTACACTGAAACACTGAGTACTGTGGAATGAAATGACTTTTTCTTTCAAAACAAATGGGTTGAAATAAAACTCATTTCCTCCTGGAAAAAAAAATTAAAGAGCAAAATTTCCCTGCTTTGGATTATGTATTTTTCCCATATAAAATTGTCATACAAGAAAAAAATGCTGTGCTGTATTGCAAACCAAACAGTTCATATCATAGATACATAAACTTGATGTAAGACATTGGTAAGACAAAACATTTAATTGCTTCTACCCTTAACCAACCGAGTGGTGTCTTTTCCTCACTAACACAATAATGCCCCTGTGCAGGAACTTTCACATTTCTGAATGAAAACGTAAAAAACACTTCACTCTGACAATGAACGAGACCCACAGTCCCCTTTTTTTCAACCCAAACACCAAAACCACACAAGACCAAGAGTGAGCTGCTTTAAGTGCAATGTGTTCTGCTGTGTGTGCTGTTAAACGTGTGCATGTATTATGTACAAGCAAGTTTTAACTACCTGTTTAAGTCACTTCATGATGTGAGCTCGCAGAGGCAGATGAGGTGTGTGGTGTTTCAGTGTGGCGGCCCATGAGGGAGCGGTTGGAATTAGCGTCACAGGCAGCGCTGATGAAAAAAAAGCTGAAGTATGTATGACACAATGCACAGTAGGTGTGATGTGATACATTCGGGAAAGTTTCACATTTTATTTGTTTTAACTAGAAAATGACGTGTGTGTGTGTGTGTGTGTGTGTGTATGTGATTTTCTGTGGTTGTGTGTGGACAAATTTTAGTTCAGTACTATTGTTGTGAAGACATTTCTACTTTGTGATGACATTTTGGCTGAACGTCACAACTTCAAAGGGCTGTTTAAGGGTTAGGAGTTAGGTTTTATAGCTCAGCTTAGAATCATCAACTTTAAAAACAATGGACAAGCTGAGAGCTCCCAAAGGTGGAGCCAACAAAATATAAACGCCCCCTGGTGGCTGATTTTGGTACGGGTCATAAATCCTGTCTCCTCCGTGTTAGTGGATGAGACATGAGCCAAACTGAAAACCCAGAGTACAAATCAAATATATATATATATTTTTTAACCAGAGGTCACTTCTGTGGTTTTTGGTTGATATTATCACACTGATGTCACAATGCATTGTCTGGCTCCTTCACATATTTCTGAACACTTCTGATCTCTTAGATCCATTGACCTACTTCATTTGGTTGTGCCTAGGACTGGACTTAAATCTGCTGGTGATCGAGATTTTGCAGCGATGTCTCCTAACCTATGGAACAGCCTTGATATTCTGTCAGCCTCAGGTTTAGTAGCATTTCGCTTTCTCCTTAAAACTCATATAGGAAGGCGTTCCTCTCTGGCACTGAGTAGGGTACCTGTTTTACTGTGTGTTAAAACTGCTGCCCATTTAGATTTATTCCATTTGGTACATGTTACTGTGTTTTCTACTGCTGTTTGTTTCTATTTTGCTTGCTTGGTGTGTATACAAGTGGTCAATGTTATAGTACAGTTTGTTTTTATTAAGTTATTTGATGATATGAAAAAAGTATATTTTTGATTATTTGACAGCTTTGATTGATTGCGCAGAATTTGGTTGCACAAAAGCAAGATGGCAGCCTCTGTATTCATGGTATTTTGGCTTCATTTTTATATAATAGAGGGAAGGGGTGATGCTATGTTCATTATATATATACAGTCAGTGGTTTGAATTAGGTTTAATTTAGGGTTAGGGTTGGGATTAGACATTTAGTTGTGATTATTAAGATTAAGGCAAGGGGCTAGGGAATGGGTTATGTCAATAAGTGTCCTCACAACAATAGTAAGATATGACTATATGCAGGTGTGTATGTGTGTGTGTTAAAATTCACATACATGCAAAGAAAAGAGAGCTGATATTGCAAAAAGAAGCTTGAGCATGTTGTGCAGCTTAAACAGAGTGGGTGTCAATGCAGTTTGATTCTGTGGCCACAAGAGGCTGATGCTCTCAGGCCAGCTGAGAGGATGGAGCCTCTCGTTAGAAAGTGTCCGGATCTTCCACACAGGTCTCGTACAAAATGCAAATTTCTATCCTATTGTCAAACTGAGCTGACCTGCAGAGATGATGTTGGGTGGTGGTTGAGTCACATGCTGATACCAGCTCATATTCAGGCTCATGAGGTGAAAGGGTCTAACCCTAACCCTGAGGAACATTTCCCCACTCGCTGATGGAGTCCAATGTTTAAGGCCAGCTCTTAAAAAAACCTCAAAGTGGTATAGTCCGACGTTGAAACCAGCACCAAGTTACTCTAAAGCTGCTCACAGCACTGTTTCAGACCAGGAGGTGGCGTTTCTTGTGCAAAGCCAGGTGGTCAGAGCGGGAGAAGCTGCGTTCACAGTCAGGACACTGGAACGGCTTGACTCCTGTGTGCTTGCGGAAGTGTCTTGTCAGCTCATCTGAACGGGCGAACTTCCACGTGCAGCCTTCCCACATGCACTTGTAAGGTTTCTCACCTTCACACAGAAAGAAAAAATAAGAGAAAGATCAGAGCTGTAAAAGATAATAAATGTGTTTATATGCATTTGAGAAGTATAGCTGGGTACGTATATGCATCAAGACTCTTACCGGTGTGTGTCCTGCGGTGCGCCTTGAGGTGGGAGCTCTTGGTGTACACTTTGTTGCAGCCGCTGAAGTCACAGCGATGAATTCGGCGTTTTTTCAGCGAGTCAGGTGAGTCAGCAGGGAGAGGATGCTTTGAGCCTGAATGGACTATTACAGATGGGTTGTTTCCCCTTTGAACGACACAGGAAACAAAGACATCAGAGTTAACTGTTGTTGTTGTTGACCAGGAGAGGGTGCTGGTGTTGTGTAACATCCCTAAGGTTCTTGATGTTGAAATATGAATGCAAGTTTGGTTTGGCTGCAGCTTTTCTCCAATGCAATAACAACTTGTACCAGGAGGTATTTGATAAACATCTCTTGTCTTTTCCAGTCTACTACCACACCTTTGCTTTGTTCTGTCACCTCTCTCATTCTTTTTTTTTTATTCACCATTCAACAATTCACACACTGGAATTTGATGCTAATTGTTCTGTGCAATGATGACACACACACCTGAAAATAAGAGAAAAGAAATCATAGATGCAGCTTCGCAACACTCTCTCCAGTCACGTACCCAGCTTCAGTGAACCATGCAGATTCAATTTCTAACACCCTGTGTGTGTGTGTGTGTGTGTGTATGAATGCTTCGTGTAAGAAATAAAGTAAATTTGTAAAAAAAAATATTAAAGTCCACCACACAATAGCAGAATAGAACTCAAAAGAATAAAACAAAGTTAAAAAGTGCTACATTCAAGAGCTCAACAACCGTAAAAAGAAAAGGAGCTGTCTTTCTGCACTACCATTAAAAAGTGTGTGTTGGTGTGTGTGGGTGCATGTACATAAGTGGCAGTTGAGAGCAGGTGTCAAGTGTTGAAATATGAACCCTTCACACATCAGTTCGGTGTAAAAGAATGTGCAGAAAATCCCCCGCAAAATGCACACACAGAGGCCAACCCATCATTACTATACACACTGAGCAAACTTGACCTATTTGCCATATCCATACAGTATATCTGCCTTGGTGATGTGTGCAAGAAAAAAATGCTGTGTGTGATTTGAGAGGACAGGTGATGACAGATAAAGACACACCCATTTTTTTCTTAAACCAGCATGGGGGTAAGGGTGGGGGAGGGAGGAGTACGATACAATAAACTCAGTTTCACACAAACAAGAGGTAACTGGCTGGTCGATCAGCAATTACCTCTTTGGGGAACGCAACGGACTCTGCAGAGGATGAAACACTAGGGTACAAAGCATAAGAGGGGAGGTGAGTAGGAACAGGAAGGCATGAGGGGAGGGGGGCGGAAGAGGAGGGCAACAAGGAGCAGGAGATGCCGGACAATGATCACTAAAAAATACAGGAAGCGCTGAGCGAGGAAGGATGAGAAAGAAAGGAGAGATGGGAAGGGGGGGGGGGGGAAAAAAGCGAGGAGGGAAGGGGGGGGGGAGGTATGGAGGGGTTGGCAGGAACAAGATGGCTGATATGAACTCCTGTGGTTGCCTAGAAGGCGATAAGGAGACGAGGTTAAAGAACTGAAACGAGAGGTGTGGCTGACAGATGGGGCTGGAAATAAGAGAATAAAAGACGCCACGGAGGAATGAAGGAACCTGACACACACTGCCTGTCAGGGTGTGTAATGGGTTCATGGCATTTGTTGTGTTACTGGTCCTGTGTTATCTCTTAAATTACCGTCATCTCTGAACGTCCTATACAGTTAACTGCCACGCTCACGTATTCCTACTGCAGCAGCGGCGCATGAAGAGCACGTTTCATAACTTTGCATATTTTCCCACCAGAATAAAAACAACAGTAGATTTAAATTACTAAAGAGATATTTGAAAAGGTCTGAGTATCAAACTTCTCTACTAAACCTCTGATTATTTTGGGGCGTTTTTGCATGTATAAGTTTGGGGACAGCAGAGTTGACAGGAAATGCATCATATTTGTTTCTTGTTCCTGAGCATGAGATGGGATATTGTGAGCAAAGAAAAGTAATATTTTTGAAAATAAGCTTCCCTACTTCCCTAGTGACCAATAATATTACTAGCGACCACACTGGACACAAAACAGCAACATGAGATGTGACCTACTTGTGAAACTGTGACACACTAACGCCCTGTTGGACTGAGCGTCAGGCATATGGAGCAGAGACTTATAGTTACAACACAGTTACAATCCAAAGCGCCAAAACCTTGTCTTTTTTGCTTTTCTTTCTTGCAAAAAATCTGTCCCTCTTAATAATAATTTTGTTGTATTTGCTGAAGTGAACCCTGATAGCTCTTCCAGCATTAGAGCACTCTTTGTTGGTGATGTTGTCCCCCAGTCTTGCCTGTTCAACAGTCTGAGAATCACTGCACTAAAACAGGACGGTTTTGATATCAGTTCCAAAATTCATGTATTTATTGCATCAGCCCTGGTATTAAAAAATCTCAAACTATACCGAGCCCTAGTCTGGGGACTGCACCTGCCTTAAAAAAATCTCAACAGAAACGGATAAGAATCGGGTGGAAGATAAGTCTCTGCGCAATATTTCCATATATAGTTAAAGGGGACGCGCTAGAGAAGATGGAGAAACTTGTAAAATGTTTGGTGCTTCTTTCAAAATCTGTATAAGAGTGTTGGTGTGTTACTCACTCATATTCATGTGGTATCCGGATTACTGATGATTTAAACTCATGGCTGATGTGGGGGGCGTGAATGAGCTCAGGACGGGGCTCCGTTTTAATCGGCTTGTGCAAGTTGTGGATGTCACCTCGCAGCTCCAGGGGCTTTGCACAGTGAACTGGGTAGAAGTAAAACAATCAGATGTAAGATGACCAGTATGGTCAGGATAAAGTCAAAAGGCCACATGTCAGAATTGAATTTTGTTTCCATTAAATCTGTATTTATTTATCTAGAATTTTCCTCTCAGCTGTAAAATGTCTTTTTATTAGCCACACTAGCAATCTGGGAGGGCAATGTCGGTCTAGACCATTGACTGTAAAAACAATGGACAGGCTAAAAGCTAACAGAAGTGAAGCCACCATGACACGGCCTGCAGTATAGGTCATAAATCCCGCCTCTCCCATGTTAGTGGATGGGACATTAGCCACAATAGAAACCCAAGGTACAAATCAAATAGATTTTTCCCAGCGGAAACATTGGTGTTTTTTGATTGGCAGACCGATGCTGTCACTCCACTTCTGGTTGCAAAAAAGCAAGATGGCAGCCGCCGTATTCACATACTGTATGCCATATGCTTTATTTTTGCTTAGCAGAGGGGAAGTGGTGATGCTATGTCCATTATATATACAGTCAATGGTTTATATTTGTATATGTCAGTGGTACCAGAGTCAAATTCTTCGTGTGTCCAACACACCTGGCCAATAAAGCTGATTCTAACTTCTGAGTCTAGACTGAAACGTGAATTTTGTACAGGTTTATGATTCCCAGAGAACGATTCTTAATCAACATGATGATCTTTTTCATCTGGCTTCATCATTAGGACAAAATTGTAATTTGTCCAAATATTTGGTTTATTACCAACCACCTGTAAAACTAATACCCTTCAGACACAGTTGTACTTTATTTTACATGCTAGGTAACAAAGGTTGGCATGCTGACACACTAAACTATGATGGCGGACATGGCAAACGTTTCAGCTGATAAACATCATTATGTTAGAATTGTCATTTCAGGTAGGTTTGCATGCTGATGTAGAATTTAGCTCAAAGCTTCACTGCGCCTAAGCATAGCCTCACAGAGCCACGTTTATCTATCTCTCTCACAGGCTGAAGGGTGAGATAATGTGACCTCTGTCCATCTCAGTGACCTCCAGCTGGCCACAGAAAACAGAACAACTGCACCCAGCTTCCCTAAGAAACAAGAATCTGATGAAACTGTTATTCTAAGAACAGAGGAAATGAAAAGCACTTCCTCATTTAGAGTAAAAGATATTTGTATATTTAAGAAGAAAGATTGAAAACAGCTATGTTTTATTTGGACAAAACGTGTACCAGCACTTTCCTCATACTCTGATGTGTTATGAATCTTTAATTAGTCTCTGTTTTATTGTTGTTGTTTATTGTCATTCACTTTCTTCCATTGCTTTGTTTTTTGTATGTTAATGATTATCATTTAAATTGTTTGCCTGAGGACTCACCCGTCTTGTGCTCCCTGCTTCGATGATGGTCTTCATCACTGATGACAGGCGGGCTCACCATTATCGGCTGGTGTAGATGTAGAGATGAGGGGTATAGGACAGACAGAGGCACCATGACTGGAGACACCATGACCCCTGACCCTTGGATTACTCCAGAACTCGAGCTGATCAGAGGACCCACCATAGTGGGGTAAGGAAGTGAGGAAGTGGGCGGCGGGAGAATGTGGGAGGGTGAGGAGCGCAGAGGGGAGGACCGGGGGGAGGCACGGCACACTGAGCCACAAGGAGAAGGCGGAGAGCTGCGTGAGGAGGCCGGGGAGGAGCAAGGAGGGGATGAGGAAGAGGAGGTGGAGGAGGAGCGCTTGCTGAGTGAAAGGTCCACTGGCTCCAGCTGGGTGTGCGTGGAGTTGCTGGGGGTGTGGGACTGGGTAAAGGCATGCATGTGCGGGTGGTAGAGCGGGGCGGGATGGGGGAAGATCATTCCGTAAGGCTCTGGGGTTTTCATTAATGAAGAGTAGAATGACTATAAGAGAGAGAGGGAAACAGAGGATACAGAAGAAGGAAGCAGCAAAGGGAAGAGGGACAAAAGAGCAGAGAGTTAAAAACATTTCCGTTCCGCATTGAATAACGGGGGAAAACATGTTTCTGCCACACAAACAGCTACAGCCAGCCAAAAAATCTAAACCCATAACTGTTTGGGAGCGGATAACTGTTATGTCTGAAAGTACAGCATGGTTTTGTGTGTGTGTGTGTGTGTGTGTGTGTGTGTGTGTGTGTGTGTGTGTTCATTAGCCTGCTGCCTGGCAGTGTGTCTGTACCCATTGTATGTAAATGTCCACTGTCCAGCAGCCTGTTTGTCCAGGAAGAGCCGGAATGTGGGAACCAGTCTGTCTAGACCAATAACAGGAGTGTGTGTGTGTGTGTGTGTGTGTGTGTGTGTGTGTGTGTCTCAGTTACTGTATGGCATCAAAAACATGTTCAGGCATGATGCGAGCACTCAAAAACACACACAAGCACCCAAAGCTACATTTATACATGTCTTACCGTCTCCATGTCTGTCTTCAGAGGGTAATCATACATCAGCATGGCTGCAAAGGCCAGGCTCCTACAAAAAGAACATGCACACAATTAATACATAAAATCATATTTACAGTCTAATGACCTCACACAATTTTAATAACGTGTTTTATGTTACAATCTCATATATTTTTTTTACATGTAGTGGAGTAAAAGTACCATAAAACAGACATTCTCAAATAAAGTACGAGGATCTGAAAGTTATACTTTTGTCCACAAGCCTGTTTCATATTTTACTGATAAGACATCATTGGTAATTTATGAAATCATCTTATTCCCAAGGCAGAAGTTTAAAAAAAAAAAAAAAAAGTACACACACACACACACACACACACACACACACACATCTTGTGAAGTGATGAAAAGCAAATTAGCTAAAGTAGAGGGAAAGGCTCGACGGGGTCTGTAGTTAAGTGTAGGTGACTGAAAAGTGCTTGCCTGTGTGTGTGTGTGTGTGTGTGTGTGTGCGCGTGCTCAGCCTCTCTTCCAGTAAATCACATCAGACAATAGCTATGAACTTTTTTTTCCAGATTTTACACGTCTTGTCCTCCTCTCTGCTCTTGTCACCAGAAGCTCTTCTTTCTCAAACTGCCAGTACGTCCTTCATGTTTTATGAACAAATCCGAACAAGTCCACCTGACATTTTGTCAGGTCCTGCAAACAAGGCACTTAACAGCATGGGTGTCGTCTGCAAATATCTGACGCTCAGACAATGCCACAGACGACTTTTTCCAGTGGGTCATTTTACACTAGTACTGCCAGTTCCAGGTGTGATGTGACTAGAAACTGCCCAGTGACTAGACAGTGATATCTCAAACATATCAGACAGGTGAACACACACCACTTAGTGAGACCTGGCGAGTGTTTGGAGAAAAAGGGTGTGAAGTTTCAAAGGCAGTTCCAGTTACTCTGGCTTTGAATAGCCAGGTGCGGCCGCGATGACTGTGTTTGTGCCTAAGAGTGTTTATGAGTGTGATTGTGTGTGTGCTCACTGGAGCATTAAGGCAAAATGAACTGTCAAAGAATGTACCCTAAGGGAGTCTGTGCATGTGTGTGTGTTCTAGGGTGTGACGGCCTATGTTGTTACCCATTTGTTAATAATTAAAGGCTAACTTGTCTCCAGACTGTGGACTTTAATCAGGTCACACATACACACACAGAGTCCAGTTGAGGAGCAGGCCAATAGAAGAGCAGGATGTTCACTTGCTGGGTCAGGAAGGTTGTGAACATGACAAGTGAAGCCTCACCCTTCAATAGGCTCCAAAGAAACAAAGAGACTGCATTCAGGTGGAGATGTAGTCATGCCTGTGTGTGTGTGTATGTGTGTGTGTGTGTGTGTGTGTATGCACCCGTATCTATATGTGTATTGTTGAGGGTGTGTTTTCCAATCCGGGTTTGTATTGTATTGTGGTTCAACTAGAGGTCAAGCTGTTGTTCTATTGTGGTTGTGATCCACACACAGAGGTGACAATAAGAGCAGGTATGAAGCACAAACAGAGAGACCACAAAACAGCAAAGGGACAACTTGTAAGTGTACACTGGTAAGTACTGTACACTGAACAGGTATTTTCCTACAGAAACAAGACATTTACATTTTCCAAAAGACTGTTTCAAAAGCCACTGTGGAAATCCCCAGTGTGTCTATCCTATGTTTCTATTTAAAAATTTCCCCTGAGCTTCTGAAACAAAAAAAAAGCAGGGAGGTATAGTATTAGTTTTGAAAGAGCAGTACTTCTGCACAGGATGCATCTCTGACTCACAACTAATCACATCAGCAAACAAGGAGACAAAGTGCCATTGATGGAAACCACTAGCAACCAGGTCTAGACAATATAATCCAACTATAGTCATAACTTTCAACATGAGGATCCGGCCCAACAAGTAGAGCTGCTACTAAAAATCATTTCTGACTCGATGGTGATTGTCAGTTCATCTTGGTGAATTGTTTAGCGTACAAAGTGTCAGTAAATAATGACAAATGTCTAGAGTGCAAGGTGACGTCTTCAAATACTTGTTCTGTCTGACCAGTAGTCCAGAAAACAAAAATATTAGGCAGCATTTTATTTTAAATCCCCATATAAATGCATTATAACACACTATAATGCAGATGTAAGTGTTTATTAATTATTTGTGTTTAATAACTCCTGTGCTGTATGCTGGTGTATAAATGGATAATGATGTTATAATGATAGAAACTGATAGAAAAGTTAGAATCGTTGACGACTACAGAACTGGCCTGAACATTTCCCACATGTGGAGAATCTGCAACCTGTTAATAAAAACATGTGTTTGTGAGCGATTACATGCCACTCCAAAAAGTGCTGTACCTGAATCACAAGTGCACATCTGTGCACTCCCCCTCTAAACTACGAAATACAATAAATGCACAATATCTTGTCACTGTGAACACGAGTTGTCTGTTGCCTTCATGAGCACATGTGTGAGTTCCTGTCTCTCACAAACTGAGACAAACCCCTGCAGCACTCTGTATTTAAATCTGGGAAAGAATGTATGCAGTCGGGGAACATACCACTCCTCTCAAGAGTTCACCTGTCATGCAGCATTTCCCCTCACAGGCCAGTTCGCATGAAGGCGAGGCTGATTTATGTAACCTGAGACATGTTACTTATATATTAGTGGCGCCATTCTGCTTGTCATTGGTTTAATAAAACATAGGACAACTTGGGTGATGATGACAGAGATCAGGATCACAAATAATCGGTGTTTGTTTTAATTTGCATGGCGCTGTACGCCAGGTGTTTAGGGCTGACCATGCAGGGAAACGAACAGACGATAGTTATCAGGCAACACAGGGCGGTGAGTGGGGGAGAAGGATCTAACCCTCGGGGTGTATCGTAAAAAAATAAACACGGTGAGTCGCACAAATGTTAGACAATCACAGGAAAAGAATTTCATCTTTGGTGCACAGCATCTTCCTCAGTACACTTCCACAGGCCACAAGGCCTCAGGACATAGAAGGCGGTCTGAGCTGGAGCTTGTTGACTTGTGTCTATATCTGTGTTGCTGCAACAAGTACTCAATTAATCGATCAGTTTTTCAAGGCAAAAATAATCAGATACTATTTTGACAATTGTCATAAAAGTAATTTTTCAAGCAAAAAAAAAACAAAGGTAACCTACAGGTAGTTTATGTATGTCAGCTGTGAGGATTCGCTGCTTTTCTTTGCCTTATGTGACAGTAAACTGAAATGTAGATGTTGGTTGGTCAAAACAAGACATTTGAAGACTTTCCAATATCATACATGTCATTTTTCACTACTTTAGAGCAACTTTTAACAGATTATGGCAGCTCTCTTTGCTCTGATCCACATCTCCTGGAGGACAACAACCTCTCTCTGTGGGAAAGATATCAAACAGCTGCTTCTTCAGAGCATTTAAAGGTTAACAGCTGAAAAATGTGAGGCCATATACTGTGAAGAGAACAAACCAGTGTGCACTGCATCTATTTGGTAAATAATTAGCCCAACCTGGGTTGCTGAGGACTGTTTTCTCCCTGTGCACTCTATATGGTGGTGGGCGTTTGTGCATGTCAAGTGTGGTCTGCAAATATTGTCCTTCTAGGTCAGTAGAGCTACTGTGTACTCAACCCCAACCCACTCAGCAAACACTTCCTACACGCCTCTCTGCCTCTCTCTCTCTCCACCCTTGGATTCCAGATCTTCTTCTTCTACACCTCTTCCTCAGAAGTCACATCTCACAACTTTACAAATGTGTTTATCTGAACCGCACACCACCCCGCACTGTTTTTCTCTCCTTATATGAATGATATAAAACAACATGACTGAAGGGGAAAATACTGTGGCTTGGAGCCCCTGGCTACCGGCTAAACCACACATGCACACACACGTTTGTTTTGATTCCTCATGGGGACTTGCTTTCAATTCCTGGAGACTTAACCGCTACTTGCTTAAACCTAACCTTAAACCAAGTCATCACCCTAACATTCAGTGACTTACACGGTGGCATCTGGTCCCCACAGTCTGAATGGGCTCCTGGTTTTGGGTCCCCGCAAGTACAGAAAAACAAGGCCACACATGCTTACATACACTCGCAGCCGCACACCAAGTTTCTGCTAGCTCGACAGAATACACACATTAAATCACTGAAAGACTAAATTATTACAGACACGCACATATGATGAAACATACACAGACACAAACAGGGCTGCACACGCACATGCACACACACACACTAATGGCAACAGGCTGGAGATGATGAGATCACCAGAGAGACCAGAAACCTCCAGACAACAGCTTCGTCCAAGAACACGCTGCAGCAGGCGCATATGCAGACACACACATTTGCACTTACAGCCTTCGGTTCTCTCGATTCGTTCGCTTTCCTTTCCCCCCCTGCCTATTTAACCTTGTCACTTTCACCTCATGTGCCGTCGCCATTCTGATCACAAATCACCTGACACAAATAGCACTGAAGCACTGACACACTTAATCGTGATACACTTAATCTCGTGTGTAACTCGATGAACATACTGGAGCTTGACTCACATTTTCTTACCTATTCACGCCCCTTAGGGAATACATTGATTAGACTTAATTTAAAATCCCAGTTACATGACTCATCATGATGGAAAGATAATATTCTAGGGTTTAACTGTGCCTTTTTCTGAGCTTTTTTGTGAAGTTTCTTACTGCTCAACAACATTTTTTTTTTGTTGAAATTCCTTTGAATTTACTCCTCACTTCAACCTCTCAATCCCCAGGTGTACCCCCCTTCATCCCTTATTTCAGCCCCTTACCTCACTGTCTTAATAATGCCTCACATACTGTGATTTTGACTCCTCTCCTCTCATGGCCCCTGCTTCCTATTCCCTCCTCAGAGCTATCTAGCCCATTCCTCCCATCCTTTTACACCGCTCAAATGCACACATAAGCATATAAACAAATATACAGTCACATAGCCCCCTCCTCGCTCCTCTCCAGCAGACTGCATGGCTGGCGGCCTGCAGACCTGAGGGGGAAGCCAGAGGGGGCCATCAGCAGGGGAGAGGAAACAGGATCCATTATCACACACGCATCAAAAAACTTATGAGACATTTAAAGACACACCGGAGTTGACATAAGGTTCAGACACTGACAAAGGCGCACATGTGCACGAACCTCAAGTCGAACTTGAGAGCAGAGTTTTGAGGCTTTCCAGACGACTGAAGACAGAGGGAAGGAGGGAGAGAGAGAGGGAGAGAGAGAAGCGGAAGCCCTCGGAGTTTAGTCTGACTGTTATTATTTCCACACTGTGTGATGGGTCGGGGGCTGTAAAGAAAAGGAGGAGGAAAGTGAAGCCAAATAGGGGGTGCTGCTGCAGGGGGCCTGTGGTTTCCTGTCTGATCCCCACCCCCCCAAACACACACACACACTCCGCACCTCCCTATCCTAAGAATGAGAGGAGAGAGGGGGCAATGGAAGGAGAGAAAGGGCAAAGAAAACAGACGCTCTGACCAAACTATGTCAAAATGGAAGTGGAAAGAACAAGGCAGAGACCGAAACGTGGGTTTCAACCAAAATATGGCAAAACTCAAACGAGGGGTGGGAGGGGGGGTGCTCCACAGTGGCTCAATCCAGTGTTTGAAAGCAATAACAGACACACTACACGACTGTGTGTGTGTGTGTGTAGTTTTACATGACTGTGTATGTGCGTGCGTGTGCTGGCACGCCTGCGAAGTTGTATAACAAGTTACGGCTTTTTAAGTTTATGGCTGTCTGTGTGCCGCGGTGTCCTTATTCCCCTAACTTCTAATGGAGAATCGCCAGCTATTCGGCATCCTGGAGTTTAATGTTTAGCTCTAATGTTCCCTAGACATGCCCTTTGAGCAGCGCATGTGTTTACACACTCTTGCGCATTTTGTTCCACCAGATAACATCAGCATGTTGATTCAGGAAAAAAGGCGTAGGGGTGGGTGGGGTACTTGGGGCGTGTGGGTGTGTACTGTTGTAATGAGAGATAAATAAATACGAAAGGAGTAACAAAAAGAATTCAGCTCTTTTTTTTCTTAAACTTTTCTAGAGCGAGAGAAGCACATTAAGTAAGACAAAGAGGCAAAGGGAGAGAGGAAGAGGGAGAGGGAGAGAGGTCACCCTCATTCCACCCGTTCACCCCCCACATCCACAGCTCTCTCTCCTCCCTTCTTTCTCTCTCACTCCAGGCTCTAAACAGGATAGGGGCTTCATAGGCCAAGTGGAATGTGTGACGCAAGCCTCAGCCTTGAAACAAAGCACAGGAAACAGGGAGCGACAGAGACGGAGAAACACACACATAGAAAGAGAAAAGAAGATGTGTATTATCAAGGATGTAGTAAAACAAGAGAACAAGAGAAGCTCAGGTGTGTCTGACAGCTTGAATCTGTCTCTCTGTCTCCCTCTCTCTCACACACAAACACACACACACACACACACACACCACTGTCTGAGTCTGCATCAGCATCAGATTCAGCCTGTCACTGAACCATTTGTGCTGTTTAATTAAGCAAAAGGAAAATATCAGCTGATTCAAAAGTGACATTTTGTTGATTTTTTTTTTTGTGGACAAAATAAAGATTTGGCCTTGGCCTCACAGAATGTGTATTTTTGTGCGCTTTTCCACTATTTTCTGACATTTCAAAGACTAAACAGTGAAGCAGTTAAAGAAATATCACACAAAATATCATTCAGATTTTTATATCTGTAAAATCCACATTTAGACTTAACCACATAAAATTCACACAGGACGCAAAAGTCATTAAATAAGACCCAGAAAGACATATCACTGTCGCTCTCATAAACCTGTATTTTTACCACTTTTTATTTGAACTCTTATATATAAAAAGCTCTAAAGACTAAGCCCAGCATCTCCACTGTCTTACTGTCCAGTTACATTATCTCCCAATGTTTCAGATCATTGATCAACAGGTCAGCAAGTTCAACAAATGACGCTGATTTTTACAAGAAATATGCGAAACTGTCGTTTCCCGGACACAGTCAACACAAAAACATGAAGGTTTTTATCATAAAGACAACTTTGAGTAATTTACTAATTAATCAGTCACAACATTACTTTCCAAACGCCTGATTTTATTAAAATTAGAAACCCGCAAATCTACGGAAGATTTTATGGACGTCTCTTTTCCATAATAAAGTTTTCTTTAATTCATCTTCAACTACATATAACTTGTAAATGACCACGCAGCAACATCCGATTGGAACCGGGAGGATTATTCCGGGGGACCAGCGAATGAAACTGCTCCGACACAGTGTTAAGTCTCCGCAGGAAGATCACAGGGTCAAACTTACTTCTCAGATGGAGTATACAGTCTATTCCTGGAGGAGAGACGGTGGTTTCACAGCTGCCTCGGTCAACGGCGAAGGTTCCCTCTTAGCCAGAAACTCAATTAGACAACTCCGCTGAAAAAGTGACGCAGGTGACGCTCAGCGCTCCGCAGTGTCACTGACATCGGCGGCTCCACAAAACTTTCCTATGTTACGAAACCGCCTCTGTGCGTGCGTGTCTCTCTCTCTCTCTCTCTCGGTCTCTGTCTCTCTGTGTGTGGGTGTCTGTGTGTCTCCGTTTTTGTCGTTCAGAAACTGCAGCTGTCACATGATCCGCTGTCTGTTCTCCATGGGGTCGGGCCGCTGGGCGGGGCGGGGCGGGGTGGTCCGGTTCGCGTGTGAGTGCGAGTGTGGGTGTGGGAGTGTTGAAATTGCGTTTCAAGTTTGGAGGGGACGTCCAGTCCTCCTGCGAACCTTTGGTGCAATGACGATCATGATTTAGACAACAGCAATGAAACTGCATAGTGTTGAATACTTACCAGTTTCCCATTAGGCGCCATGTAGAAGCTGTAGCCTAATTAATGGCCGTCATTTATCCATTAATAAGAGCTAGTTCTGGTTTACCATGTTGTGGAAAGTCCTCATTCCTCCAGTGGACTGGTTAACCACTGACCATTTCTGGTAAGGGGATTCAAAACACCTAAAAATCCATTTAATTTATTAAAGTGCATGTTTTTTATTTATTTATAATACACCACTGACAAATCTTAGCGAGCTACCTATAAAAGTTATTTATTTCCAACATGATAAGATGCTTTTGGCAAGGATGCTAATGGTTTATAACAGATCTGTAAACATTATAAGTGCTGTTTTAGCCTTTAATAACAATTTATAAACCTTTTGTGAATGGTCAGAAAGTGTAAGGCCTACTGTTTAATATTCATATACTATTCAGCAAGTCACAAAGACAAGGCAGGTTATTTTCTATATTAACATTGTTTTCACCAGTCCCCATACAGAGACTAAAACCAACAATGATTTGTCTCTACTCACTGTTAATGTTTGCCAGTCTGTCAGTCCTGGGTTTGCTTGTTTGTTTGTGCCTTAGACCCTTAGACCTCCACTGTTGTTCAAAAATGATTAAAAACACATCAGGGAAACACACAGCTGCACTGGGCGACATGCTTCCTCATTACGAAACACCAGATCCTGACATTTGTTAAAAATGTTGCCTCAAAGGCTCCAAACGGCCATAACATTTTACATCATCTGAAGTAAGCAAGAAGGACCCATGCAGGAGCTCTCTGGGCATTCTTAACAAATATTAGGTTCCGTAATGAGGAAACATGTCACGTGTCACATGTGACATGTTTATCAGCAGCGTGCTTTACTCATACTTCTTACTCATATTTACTCTTATTTGAAAAACTAAAAGGAAGATCCGGTCTAGGCAAACATTACTGATGTAAACAGCCCTATAACAGCATTAGAAAACAATAATAAATTTGATTTAGCGGTTGTCTGTGCATTAAACAGTTTGACATATGGGACTGATAGCAGGTTCCATGCCTCTGTGAGTGTTTGTTTGTGTGTCTGTAGAAAGAAGAGGACAGCCAGGGTGTGACAAGGAACAAGCTCTTCCTATAAGGTACTGTTACAAAAGGAAGAGGAGATTTTTATGGGGAAAAGACTCAATAATTTAATGAGCACTGTACTTATCAATACAGAAAATACTAATTTCTAATTGGCTGGCATGTATGCATGAGTAACATGTTTGAGCACTCTTCAATCACTGACAGTGTCAGGAGTTTAAATACTGTTCCGTGGAATATTACACTGCAGGAAACCATTGCAATACTTATGATTCACACAATGTTTCCAGGTAAACATCTGTTAAGCAATAGTTTTGTTATTAACACTCGATTAACCTGCTCCATGTGGAGAACTGCTACTGAACCCGCTAAGAATCTACATTGTAGCTCATTGTTCAGGTTCACCAGTGAGACTGCATGTACATACACAGACTGGAACCTAGTTTTTGTATAGAAAAAAAAAAAAAAAAAAAAAATTTAGATCATGGAGAATTTTATTCTAGTCCTGACCATTATAGCATTCATAAACTTTGTAGCAGTAAGAATGTTTAACAGACAAAGTCACCAGAGTCTGTGCAAAGTCTCAGTCATCCAGGTCATAGTATGCTCAAAAAAACTTAGAAGAAGGCATCTGGACGTAGTTTTAGGTAGAAGACATTTCACCTCTCAGCCAAGAGGCTTCATCAGTTCTGCCTGACTGGTGGTGAGCAGGAGTTATTTATCCTACTGGGTGAGGTTTCAGTCCAACAATGCCCTCCAACGACTGAGTTGTTGGAGTTTCAGTCCTTAACTGGCAGATGGTGTTCTTTTTGACTCACACCGTCCACTACAACACAAATTGGGAGTTATCAAAACCCTAAAGCACAGGGCCGAGGAAGTGCTCACAACTGCAGAAAGAGGAACTACACATCCGGAATTCCCTTAAGGTTTCTAGATACCCGAAGTGGGCCTTCACCAAAGCAAGGAAGAGTCCCAACACCAACAGGGAGAAACCAGAAACAAGAGGGGATAACACAGTCGTCCTTTATGTAGCTGGTTTATCAGAGAAACTGAAAAGGATTTTCCACAAATCCCAGTCAATTTTAAACCAGGGGACACCCTGTGGCAGAAACTGGTCCATCAGAAGGACAAAACACCCAGACACAAACAGAGTGATGTGGTGTATGCAATTAAATGTAGTCAGGAGTGTAATGACCTGTACATTGCGGAAACAAAACAGCCGTTGCACAAGCGCATGGCCCAACACAGGAGGGCCAACCCCAGTGGACCAGAGTCAGCAGTCCACCTACACCTGAAGGACAAAGGACATTCTTTTGAGGACAGTGAAGTCCAGATCCTCTCCAGAGAATATCGCTGGTTTGAGAGAGGAGTTAAGGAAGCTATTTTTGTAAAAATAGAACACCCCTCACTAAATAGGGGTGGTGGACTAAGACACAACTTGTGTACAACTCTGTTTTGAGATCTCTACCCAAACAGTTCCACCCCAATTCACACCAGGACACTAGGCATCAGTCCACATGTGAGGGTTCAAAGACCGGTAGTGACTCTCACCAATACCATTGTTGGGACAATTTTGGCCGTCGATGGACTGAAACCCAGGGGGATAAATACCTCCTGCTCACCACCAGTCAGACAGAACTGATGAAGCCTCTTGAATGAAAGGTGAAACATCTTCTGCCTAAAACTACGTCCAGATGCCCTCTAAGTTTTTTTCAAAGTCACCAGAGGCAAAGCAGTCCTATTAGCAACTTACCATACTGAAGAAATCCAATGTCAGGAATTTGTAAAGTAAGAAGAAATGAATTGGAGCTGATACAACTTGTGTGAAGTGTACATGCTCTCTGATAGACATCCAGAGATACACAATATACCAGTCTTCACTATCATGGCTGCTAACTAGCTGAAGGAACAGATATTTTCCTCAAGAGTTCAGATGAAACTGAAGGTGAACTAACACATTAGCCTTAATACACACTGGTAAGCTGTGTTGAAGGGAACTACTCTCATACTCAAAACTCCATGTAGATTTAATTCTTACTTGTAAAACTGACCTAACTATGAGTTAAACTGATGAAAACCCACTTGATGACAACCAAGGTATAAAGGTGATAATACACTCTGAGGTGATATTTAAAATTTGTTTCTTTTCACCCCTCCTCTCTGTCCATATGTTTTTATACAGGGACACCTCCCCTTGCTTTTTCATGCGCTATTTAAATATGGTAAGCAGTTTTATTCTGTCACCATAATGAATACTTTTTGGATGGCCAACTGCCAGGTGCCTATTGAAGCGTTTTTCAGAAAGCCTCAGAATAATTCCAGTTAACAACACTTCCTTGTTCTCATCTTTGGCACGATGCCACCGTAAGTGAAACAAACCACTCCTACTGTATGTGTACTGACTGAGAAAACAATTCAGTGTGTCTTGCTGATTACGACTGTTAAATGTTCTAAGACAAGAAACAGAATTAGAATAGAAATAGAACCTTATTCAGAAAGAAAGATGTGTTTGTGCCAAAGATGCAGCACAAAGTAATGCGGTACGCTTGTGTTCACACTGATCAAAATGAACCAAACTTTTCAGCACATTGAGTTCAGCAGTTTTAGGAGTTCATGTAGTGAAGCGAAGTGCAAACACATTAATGGAACTTGCGCATGCAAACAAATACAGAATGCACACAGATAATCATGCACTCATGCAAGCGCATGCAGAAGTTATGGAGTGTGAAGAATTGTAAACACTCACAAATCCAACTTAAGACTCGGAATTTAAGAAATACTGAGCTCGAGAGTCCAAGCTCATTGGACTTTACCAACTCAGAAACTCAGACATTTGGAGCAGCTTTCAAAAAATGATTTCCAATTTTTGTGTTTTTACACAGTGTGTTCATATTTATATCAGTTTGTGTGTGGTCCAGTATTATGACATAATTTTAAAACATTTTTAAACTACTATAATCTTTGAGCCTGGAGTGGTTATCTACCTGGGATTCAACCAGATGTTTACATTACACTACAAAATTATTTCAACATGACAATATGATAATTGTTTCTTCTGTTGGTTTAAAAGTAGTAACATTTATATTAAATGGAAAACATACAATCAGCCATATACATTGGCGTTTATGTAAAATGTCCTGGCTTTTCGCTCCAGCCCCAGGAGGTTCAAGCCTCACTCCAAATGGTGGTAAACCCACATACGCCCTACAAAAATGCCTGATTCAGACATTTTTCAGTTTCTGCGCCATGCATATGACCAGCCTCTAAAAATAAGCAGAACAAAGGTCAGAGCCATGTGTCATGACAACAAGTGATAATGGAGAGCCCTAGAAACAAAAATGCATCAGTAGAGAAACAACTATTCTGTCAACAGCTGAGGTGCTGTAAAATATGAGTAATCACTGTCAGTGATTTTACTAAAACTGGGTATAAAAGCAAGTAAAAACATGTACAAATCCAAAACAATAAATAAAAAAATAAAGACTGAAGCTGTGTCTCACATCCATATTATTTACTAATTCTATACAGTATGTACTAGATTAAAATCATTATACTGTGTAATTGCAGGTATTAGTTAAAAAATAACACTTATCATTTTATATGAACAGGATGTGATAAGATGTGTGACATCAAATGTGAATCAAACTGTGATTTTGGAAAATTAAACTTCACAAACAGACATCAAAATGTTTGTCTTAATATTT